GGGTATTACCTGTGTGGATTGATCCAAAAACACAAATTTTGTCGGGTAGTTTGTTGCTTCGGACATTCACTCTGACACGCACACACAGAATTCATAGATACGTTGCGTTATTCGACATAGGAGAGTTCGCCGGTTAACTGAATATTTCGCTCATTGCGTTTTTTTTTTTTTTTGCATATAGATAGACCGGAAAATCTCGAAAAGGGGATTTCCCTCTTCGCGAATAGTTCAGGAACGGCCGAAAAATTTTGTATTGAAAAATGGCGCGACTGCAAATTTATATCGACCATCAAATCCGGGCCGATTTGTATTTGAGGATTATATACACTGAATTTAGAAAAAATGGAACGCTCTGCACGTTTGTAGCGCCAATAATGTAATTTAAGAATTAAATAAACATCTCGAATTTCAATGGAAAAGAATTAATAAGAACGCAACGGTGTATACAGGGGTATTATAGAAATACATAGAGACGTTTCTTTCCCGAGATAATTAATTTTTGACTTCTTCATTTAAATTAATCGAGAATAAAGTTAATTCATAACGAGCGCCGTGGAAGAAATGAAATTTTCAACTCTCGTAGCAAGCGAAGCGGCGTGTCAAACTTACACAACATATCTATAAACAAGCATCACACGAATAATGCATTCAGCAGAATTTCGAATGACTTTTCTCGTCGCTTAGTCAAGTGGTCACGGTCTACGGGACACTTAAATTTTTTTTTGGAAGGCACTTACTACTTTTTTTTCTTTTTATACAATATTTAATTTTAAACTCTTCCGCATTCGTTCTCTCTCTCTCTCTCTTCTCTCTTTTTTTTCTTCTCTCTCTCTCTCTCTCTCTCTCTCTCTCTCTCTCTCTCTCTCTCTCTCTAGTCTCTTCTCTCTCTCTCTCTCTCTCTCTCTCTCTCTTTCTCTCTTGCTCGCTCATTCTCTCTTTTTCACTCTCACTATCATTCTCTCACATTCTTCCTTTCTCTCTCTCCCGAACCAACGTGCCGATGTTAGAATTTTCAGAAAATTCCATTTTCGCGGCAGCATATACATATAGCATTAAACTATTTGAAAAATTACTAGTCTGTTTATAGCGATAATCAAACGAGGATTTTCATATTAACATCATCGAAAGATGATATTTTGCGATAATCAAATCTGAAGATGGTTGGATCGAATTTAGCACAGACGATCAATTACAAGACCAATATATTCTATTACCAATATATTCTAATCTCGCACAATTTTGTACCGATTTGTAACGATATTATAATAAAAATTGTCTTGTTAGTGATAGCGGTCAAATGAGGAGGATCACCGAAGTATTAGCACCGAAAGGCGATACCTCGCGATAATCAAATAACACTTGACGAATCGTCTGAATTTAGCAAATTTTAGCAAATTGACTGATTATGACCTTCAATAAATTCTACTAGTGCATAAATTCCGCTCAATTTCGCACGGTATTAAAAATACCTCACCACCTTAACTTGGTCGGCACGGGGCTCGTTCATCGATTGTCGAGGGCTCGGGATCCCTTTGCGGAATCACGCGCGACGTGTGTAAAATTTTGAAAAATAGCACGATCTTTCGAAAGGAGAACACGTATACGAGTTTTTCTCTCGGTCCATTCGCTCTCTCTCTCTCCCGTCCCGTACTTGCATTCACGCTCGCACATTCACGCTCGCACATTCACAGGCTCGTATTCGCAGGTTCGCAATCTCGCATCGATGCACATACACTCGTGGTTCACCGAACTCACCGAAATTTCGACACGGTCTGTCGTGTCGAGCCACAGTTTCTCGTCCCTAATCCCTAAACCTTATAATTTTTATACTTGGCATACCCCAAATATGGCAGGAAGGCAATCATTATACTTAATAACTTTATAGCGATCATCTCGGCCTAGAGAGTGTGCTCGCTTTATAAGCCGTTGAATTTGTTTTTCTCCGTCTCTAAATACTTTGTCGTACTTTTTTCCCTCTTTCGCTCTTTCTTCTGTCTCTCTCTCTCTCTCTCTCTTTAATTCTTTTTTGCTCGTTTTGCTTGCTTGGTAGACAATCATAGTGAATTTTGTACATCTCCCTTACTTATCGAGCTTAGATCGATGACGTCGCTTACTGCCTGGCGTCGAAAGGATAGTATTCTTGCACAAAGCGTCGCGGATAGAATTGAGATTTCTAGTTTCCTCAATTGAGAGATTCATACATAAAAGCGCAAGACTTAGTCTTTTAGGATGTTTTATATATATAAAAAAATTATTTATATTAGATTCACATAAACAATTGAAAACCAGATCTATTTTTCTAAAAGAAAGATTTACATTTCTTAGAATGATTTACAGAAATATGAGAACGAGAGAATTCGCGATCTCTCTAATTTATTACTTTCACGTTATTATTATATATATATATATTGCTAATAAGAGAAACCTTACTCTTATAATCTTAAATAATTTCAAGCAAATCTTTCGCGACACCTAAAAATTAGGACATATCACAAACTGATCCATGACACGTTGTGTAAGGACTCGATAGTACAACGTGCAACTTCGTTCGAGGCGGCTTACTCTTTCTCGTCGGTATCCGTCTCGAATAATCAATCATTCGGCAGTAGGCGACCCCTTACGAGTTATTATACATTTGGCATTAAAAGTACAGTTATCGTATATGCGTAGTATAAATTTCGAGTGTGTATCTTGTGTGTACGGCGCGCTCGTGTATATCAGTGTATGTATATGTCCACATGTGTGTACGCGTGTGTGGCGTGTGTGTGTGTGTGTGTGTGTGTGTGTGGAGTTTTTCTTTTACCTTTATTACATGTACATAGTCTGTACGACACGACGATGACACGACTATCTAGATTGGAAAAAGGTGGCGGCGCGCTCGCGAGGCGCCGACGACCCAATAGCTATAATATGTTTGCTAGAAGAAGGTTTTTATTTCTTTCTCGCTCTCCCATTTCTCCGCGTCTCTGCCCTCTTGACGAAAGATCGGCCGCCGAGCGATCTTCGTCTAGGACGAACCGCTATCGTCGCTCGATCGTCCTTCCTCGAAGCTGAGCCAGGCGAGAACACTCTCGACACTCGCTTGTCTCGCGTCCGCACTCTGTGTATCCGTCAATTATTCTTTCTCTCTTTTTTTTTTTTGATTATAAGCCTCTCTTCCTCTTTCTCCCTAACATCCCTCTAAGATATTCGTATGCACAGTACATCGCGCTCGCGTACAACGTTCGGAGTCGCGTATGCATTATATATGTATATTATAAACTCTCCCGCGAGGAGGTGAAGTGAATCAGACAGAGCTCGATCCTTCGCAGAAAGCCTATCGATCCGCATCACCGACCCTCCTCACTCGCTGACGATCACGAAGAGAGAGAGATCCTCCTCGGGGTCATCGACGCTCCTCCCGCTTCCACGTTCGACGATCCTGCAACGGCTGACGTCGTCGTCTCTCTTCTTCGTCCCGCAGCCACCTAAATGGCTTACTATTCGCAGCGCGAATCCGTGAGCGGCTCGAGCTTCACTGGGATCTTGTCCTTGTCCTTGAGACCATGGGGGCTCTTCACCAAATCGGCGATGTCCTCCTGGAAGAGAGTCTCCGGGCGTGGACTGACGAAGCTTCGCGCCGGCTTGTACGTCATGCCGCTCACGCCGATGCCGACTTCCACGCTGCTGGGTATGTGACCCGCCGGGTCCATCAGCGGGCCCAACGGGCTCGCCAGAGGACTCTCCATCGGGCTCTCGGGCGGTCCGCCCGAGCCCGGGCTTGCTAGGCCGAGATTCAACGGGGAATTGCCGTTGTTGCCGGCGCTGTTGCTACCACCGAGGCCACTCACGTTGCTGTTATTGTTGTTGTGGTGCTGGCTGGCCTGCATCGCTGCCTGTAGATTCGATGACAGACTGGTGGACAGGCTCGTCGACAGATTCGTCGCCATCATGTCGTGCTGCTGCGAGTGCGCCGCTGCCACCATACTGCACATTTGATGTCGCAGACCTGGAGAAATGGTAAAGACAAGACGAGATTAAAATCTTGAAACGAATAAAGTTGCCTCATCAATAATATCTGGGACGAGGGAGAAATCCGGCTCTGCATTTTTCAGAATTTCGATATAGTTGATAGAATTCTGAATTTTTCATATATACTTTCGAAAGTCATAAAATACAAATAATATAGAAATTTGTTCAGAAATACTAGAAACATTTTAACATTTTTCATTTTTAAATAATTTTTTTCATCTACAAGAAGAATTTATAGAGGGTAGTTACACAAAAATAGAGAAATTCCTGCAGATTTCTGACGCATTGCAAGTATATATATATATAAAAAGACGCAAAATATCCCAGAGTGCAGTTTATTTCGCGGAATCAAGGCTTCAGGAATATTGGCTGCATTTTAATAAAAAACGTTTCAAATGTTTCGGCTACTCCTAGAGCGTCGCCGATTTTGAGAGAGGAAAAGGAAAGAAGAAAACGAAAGAAGAAAAGCGAGAAATAGTTTGCATTTGGTGTTGCAGTTACCTTGAGCGACCGCCGCGACCGCAGCCGCGGCTGCCGCACCCGGGCTAACCGCGCCTTCCGGACCATTGCAAGCGGCGTAGTTCGCCAGGCTGGGATACATCGTGGTCGGCTCCTCCTTGACGATGTGGGGCGAGTGCCCATCGCGGAACACCACCGCGCGAATCACGCCGCGAATATGCTCGTCCGGCCAGACGCCCAGCAGGATCCTCTGCGGTCTTCCTCGTCCCTTTGGACGCAAATCTACAAATAAGAGGGAAGGAAAGGGGAACGAGGGAGAAAGATTCATTTCACTGCACAAATCATGCTCTACGAATCGTATGCCGCTTATTTTCTCCGGCGCTTTATATCATTTGAGAATCGCGAGAATCTATGACTTCCAATTGAAATGACGGAATTAAATGATTTGAATGGAACAGGCAAGAATTTCCTTGTCGGAAAGTCACTTATCAATGAACAAATCTCAGCGACGAAGGCCTTGCACTAAATAAAAATATTAAAATAATTCAATAACTCTTAAGAAAATAATTTAAAAATTATCCCCTCGTTAAGTAATTAATAAATAACGCTTTAAAAATAGCTTCAATCACTGTTTTAAGAGATACAAATTAATGATGCGTAACTAAGCATTCTTATTAGATGTTAGTCCAGTTGTAACTACAGCGTTTACGAGAGCAGAATTGATTTAGATCATCTTCTCGATTGGTCATACCGTCGCGGTTCATTACGCGATTTCCTCGCGTGTGTTTGATTAATCGTAACATCTTAGAAACGTCTTAGGAATCACGATCAGACGTCGAACGTACGGTAATTTCAGGCTCGATTTTCGCATCCCACCTTAAGCTTATGAGAGATAAAAAAATACAGAGATAAAATATACCTTTTATATATTTTTGAGATGTAAACTGTGGCTTTTCTGTAGCTGATTTTATTTTCCAGAAGACTGTAAAAGTTCTACATGAATTTTTTCTCCTTTACGAGATCACTCATCGTCGCGGCTTCTGGCGGTATATTCTGGCGTTACGCTGGTCTACCGCATCTCGATATCAATTTTCGATGAGTGTGATCTGGCCCTCGTCACTGAGGAACATTGCTATTTCGCGGTGTTTACGTCAGAAAATGCCAAGCGAAAATGTATAGTACTCACCGGCCCCGCCGTCGGCGCTGGGACCCAGCATGTTGTGCACTCGATTCGCGTACAGGACGAACGTCGGGTAGGGGATATCGTATTTCCTGAAAGATAGAAGCGGGGATCACAATTGTGAGTTGTAGCTTACAATTATTATAATTAATATAATTTATATCTCGCTTCACTACTACGTCGTATCTTACATTACGCATTACGTCTCTTAATTAACTTTAGCTGTCCCCTATCCCGCCCGTTCGTATTTTAATGCTATTTTATGTTTATCCCATTTCATTGCGTATTTCATTTTAATTTATATTAATTTTATTATACCGACGGAGAATGAAAGATTCAACGGAACATATTTGAATGCATGGCGATGGAAATTATGCAATCTCTCGAAATTATGCAATCGCGCAGGGGAATACGTTGGCGATGACGTTGCGCGTTTAACGAAGTAACGTAGAAAGCTCCTCGCGAGGAGCAACGCGAGAGAATCGCTTATCTTGTACTCCACCTGTGCAATATTATCGTTGTATGTATCTCGTAGCCTCATTAGCTCGTACAATTTGAAATATATCAACGACGATTAACAAAGAAAAGAAAAGAAAAAGAAAAAAAAAAAAAAAAACGAAGCATTCTTGGCGGTTGAAATAAAAATTTGTAAAAATAGCATCTAGAGCCGTATCGCGGCGGAAGGCATTAGGAAAGCATTATCGATCGTCGAATCGATTATCGTAAAAATTATCGCTCGCGGCTCGTAAAGTCGCGCTTTATTGAGTCGCTTTGTACGCGAATTAAAAGAAATCCCTTTAACGGCGAGTCGACGTTGTTACGCAAACGTGATACAGGCTTTACGACGTCCGCGCGCAAATAATTTTAAAGCAGCCGCTTTGAGCGGCAGCAGATCGGGCGATTATTTAGCATGATTCAGGCACGGCGATAAGGTATGCCTGATGCGGGATAATTTCCAGGAATTTTTCATTGCGTAATAACCCGGCTCTATTGTACGCGCCGCATCATAAGACATTTATATAACAATTTTAACTATTTACTCGGTACATTGCATGAGTTGGCGCGCGGAGGAAACAACGGCGCGGCATAAACTCGCATAAAATATTTATCTTTCGCGTATCATTTATTAACAGTAGCAAGAACACGTTCGCCGCTTCGCGAGACGAACTCTTGGGATAAGCAATTAAAATAATTCTTTAATTTTTATATTAACGCATTTCATCACTCGGCGTTAATATTAAATGTCGCGTACCGAAGTTTTATGCAACTGGCGCGGGGAGTATATTATTAATTTTATTATTGGTTCCACCGGCGCGCGATACATGCGCGGTATATCCCATCGTATGCGGAAAATGATTGCGACTAAATTAATTATTTTTGCAATATACATCGCGGAGACATTTCGATATATTTTTTAAATTAACGCGTTTTCTATCAGCCGATATTATTAATATATTACGCGTAAATATAGTGAAAAAGTGCAATTAAATGAGATAAATAATAATTTTTATAAAACGCGATGGAAACGTTGAAATATTTTTAAGATTAATTAATAATGTCTATTAATATTAATATTACACGCAATAGACGGGTCATATTGCGCGTAGTATTTATTTTTATCGTGACATTTTTTTCACAGACTATTCCTTCGCTTGTCGATCTTGCCGAGTGAATTTTTTTCTCCCGTTCCAGTTTAATTAACGAGATCGGATAAAAATATAATTTTATGACAGGTAACATTGTAAGATATTTTGTAATTTGCATTTGGAAGAATTAATGGTTTAATTAAAATATTATTTCGAAAAAAATTTCGCTGGTAAAGGTAATATACAGGTAACTATATCGCGCAACTATACCTTGCCGCTTGGCTGAGGGAGAGTCCTTCTTTCAGCACGCTAAAGATCGCCTCCGCCATGGTCTCCGGCCGCCAGGATTTGAGGGGTCCACGTTCCCGGAAGCGCAGGTTGTGCACCAGGCTCTGATTGGTGTTCCAGCACTTTTGCCACATGGACTGCAGCTGATACTGGTAGCTGTCTGCTAGTAAACGCCCCCCGTGGAAAAGAGAAAACACAGAAAAGCAGCTATTAGTCGGGGAGATCGACCAGTTCAAGGAGGGATAAGAGGGAGGAAGGCAGGATTCAGGGTGAATAAATGTCCTCGTTATTGCATGACTTTTTTATTAATCGGAATCCGCATCCATCGCGCTCGTCGTAACCTGCGTTCGTTTGACGAGCCGCAACTCCCGCGAAGGCCCCTCGATTCGTTCGTGCGATCGATCGGATCGGGGGATCGAAATGGGGAAAACAAATCGTCGTAAAACGTTAACGATTCCGCAATGTGCAATTTTCACGCCGAATCGATACTCTCGCGGTCTCGATGCATGCAGGTGCATCTTGCCGTTTATGCCTTGAACGTGGGCGGAGTCACCTGGAAAACGGCGCTTAAGAAAGACAGCTATTGTACGTGTATGCGTGTGTATGTGTGTGTGTGTGTGTGTGTGTGTGTGTGTGTGTGTGTGTGTGTGTGTGTGTGTGTGTGCGTGTTCCGGTGAGTAGGTGTGGCGGAGTAAATACTAAGGAATTACGCCTTTCTAGGTAGAATCCAATATCGATGTATTGCCGTTTGCCGTACAATCGTTACAGAGCGTTACAGAATCGTCGTTAAACGAAACAAGCGCATCGCGGTTAGCGTAAATGCGTTACGTTAATGCTACTTAACACTAAACGTCCTTTTACTTAATGTTAAACGAACGAATAATTATTTATTATATATCGCGTCGCGGAGGGAAAGGGGGGGATTCTAAAAAAATGCGGAATGTATGTCTTATGTCTTAAATCAAGAAATCAGAACACATCGTTATCAAACGTTATCAAAACGTTTTGATTCGTCTTAGAACGCACATCTTATATCGCTGATCATTACAAAATTTCTTTATCTTTTTTTTTTTTTTTTTGTAAAATAACTTGAACTCCTTATTGCTCTTTGTTTTATTATGTGAAATTGAAATAAATCAAATCGAATAAATTCCACTTAACGTCAGACGTTTCGTGTCCGATATTACCGTAATATAACGCAAAATCGTTACAACTTGAATAATCGCTAATACGTTTATAATTGCTTTATTATAATATCATCATGGCAGATCAGAAGCCTCGCAATAAAGAGTACACGTTACCTCGCACGCTGCCGATATATATCACATATTATTATAACGCATTAAGAGTCTCCTTGACGTAACGGAGTATTTTCCAACGTCGCGTGCGAACAAATTTATCGAAAAAGAGGATCTTAATCGACCGGAGAAATTTAGTGACGGGCGAAAGAAACGTCCGGCGGGGCGACATTTACCGTCACTTCCGTCGCTCGCGTATGGCACGTATGGCCGGCCTCAATTCGCAACGATTATTTGATAGTTAAGTTATTGGCTTTAATTAAACCTCCCGTATGACCAATTTGACAATTAATACAATTCATCGGAAAACGCGTGCGCGGCTAAGTCCGGCTATTCTTAGACCCACATTCTCGTGGCGTATTTTTAACGCTAAATCCTCGTTAACGGTGTGTATACACTTAGCGAACGAACAACGGATGAACAGCGAACGTGTAATTTGCGTCTAACCGGAGGAAAATTTTTTTTTAAACCATCCGATCAGCTGTTTTATGAAACTCGGCCTGAAATCGATCCATTTGGATTTGTTGTTTACAGCGTACGCATTTTCCAAGATATAAAAAAAAATTCTGTTTTTTTTTTTTCTATGGTTTGTTTGCTAGGTGTATACCGCACCTTAATACATCGACATGTTGAATAACCGACGAAATATTGAGCCGCGTCTACTGCTGAATACACAGCCAGGAGACGAGAACGCGAATCGCGGAAACTCCGTCGTCGCACACAATTTACATTTTTACTTACTTACGTTAACTTTTTATCTACGAAGGCACTAAGTACATTTTTCTTTCGTTTTCCTCATCGCTCTCGTCCCGCTCCGACGAAGGGAATCTCGCAAGACGATCTTTCATTTCAGCGCAATGAATCGCTTTCGTCATGTCGCGCGCTCGATGATCGTTCTCACACAATCCGGGTTCGGGATCAGAGATCCTGGTCTTTCATCGGTGCGGTTAGAAAGCGGATCGTCCTTGCTACCGTGGACCGTTCGCGGGGATGCCACCGGGGATTGCGCCTTTGTTCGCGACGTGATTATCTCCGAGGCGCGGTAGCACCGTCGTAACGCGGCCAGTTTACGGGCCGTCGCGCGAGATATCGTCCTCACTTTCGATACTTTATCGAGGAATGTCGCGCACGACCATTTTAATACCGCTCATTCACACTTAATTCTCTCTCCTCTCACGCCCGCGCTGTCTCTCTCTCTCTCTCTCGTTCCCGAGCACGCTCCGCTGGCACTCGGCGTGTCGCACTTTTAGCGGACGCCCGATAACGCCGGTATAATATTACATCGTTCTCGCCAGGATTCAATTAACGCGCCGCTCGTAAATACGGGAATACTGCAAGTCCCCTCGGTGGCGACGATCGACGATAATATGACGCGAGAAGCGCGCCGTCGAAGGAGAGGGCGTTCCGTTTCTCGCCTTCGCAGGCTCCACGAGCTTCGGGAGCGAGTTGGCGAACGCGCGCGTACGATAACGTAAAACTCTCCCGCGAACGAGAGGAATCCTTTCTCCCCTCCCCCTCCCCCCGTTTGGACGGCCGATAAAGCGACACGCGGAATTATTTGATCGACGATACTCGCTATAATAAAAAAAACGACGATAAACATCAACGATTTCGCTAACTGGATTTTTTTCTAGCGAGCTACCTTGAAATCCGAGGCAAGCCGATTTTTTTTTTTATATAGGGGCGTTCCATAAAAGGAAAATTAGCGACGTTATGTTTTTCTCCGAGGAAGACCGAGCGAGAAACGGCTCTCGACATTAATTGCCACGTGTTGCTCGATAATTGCTGGATATTAGTCGCTTATTGCCCGACGATGCGCGCAACGATACGATACGTGTACACACGTCGCAGTCAATAATTGACGCAAAAAAAGTCGGCCGTCTAAAGTGTGCCCTGTCAACGGCCGTCCCGCTCCCCGCGCGTAATTGAGTCGTCTCCCCCTCCCCCCCCCCCTCGTCCCTCTCTCGCCGCGAAACGCGAGCGGGCCGATAAAAGTATCGTGCCGTCCACAGTCCTGCGACGCGAGCCTCGGCGGTGGAAGTAATCTAATATCATTCCTCGTCGTTGCTGTCAAGTATCACCACCAGTTATGGGTCGCGGAATGAGTTTTTCTCGCGCAAGCGGAGAGCTAAACGCGCGAGGAAGATATGCCCCGGTTTTGGCCCGCTTTCTCTCTCTCTCTCTCTCTCTCTATTCTGTGAGAGTTCGTCGCCTTACGTCATCGGGTATACGGCATTCCGCGGTTCGCGCGGTTCAGAGCGAATCGATTCAAGTTTAAGCGCGAGCGAATTATGCGCATTTGTAAAACGTACGCGCCCTGCGTTTATTTCCGCGAGCGGAATATCGCACGGCCGGACCGGATCAACGATCAGCACACGTTAATCGCGATTTAACACTCGAGTCGCGTGCGGCGAATTCAGAGCCGATATATATTTAGATATTTAGCTCTCTTCTGTACGGTCCGTCGCTTTGCTCTACTTTCGTGTTACGTTTATCCACGACTGTTCCTTCGCTGTTCATTACGCGTGCTGTACTATTTATATTGCCGTTAAATAACCGACGTAGCCGCGCACGGAGAGAAAGAGAGAGAGAGACTTTAGCTTAACACCGCGTTCGCGTTCGACGTGATATTTGTTGTTCAACGGGAACATTTTTATTCTTTCGTTGATTAACCATTTATCGCTCTCTACAGGATCGACTTTCGTAAGTAGGCGGCATACTTTCTTCATCCCGTTTGCTCTTCACATTCATAAATCTTTCTGATCTTCCGCAACTTCAAACAATGCCGTCGCTTTAACAAGGAACGGATATGTGCTCATTTCGTTAATGCGATTATCCATTAGATTTGGAATGTTAACAGAAACAGCGTGTACCTTCTTGCGGAGAACGCTTTTCTCCTCGCCTGATGATTCTAATACGCTAAGACATAATTATCTCGCAATTATTATTGCCGGGAACAATAAGGAAACGCGAGCCCGACGCGCTTAACATGGCAACGTTAATAACTTAAACAATTGTCTTGTTATAGTAATAAAATAGTAGAAAAATATCTAATTATACGACAATACCGTGAGCAACAACAATCAAATCTTCGGAATGATTTGGTCCCACCGATATACAAACGGTGATCGGAAAGTATATATACAGAGTATGGTATATTCGAAGAGAGACGAGTGTTTTACTCGTCGATTAAATTATGTGGAAGACGGAGATGAGTGGAAGGCACTAAACTCATTACATGCTAAATTGTTCACGAGTACATGATTTGCAAAAAAAATGCAATAGAGCTCCCGAAATTGGCGACGCGCTTAAAAGCATTTGGCGATGCCGATTTCCTTTTCAGTCTTGGCATCTTTGAACATCTTTCATTATAACTTTTGCAAATAATAAGAAAATAAACAAACACGTAACCACTTTAAGGTTATAAAAAAAAGATTGCATATTTGAATCGTAATTTTATTATTAAATTGCAGAAATTTTCATAAAAGTTCACGTGGAGCATGCACGCTCTCTATCTCGCTTCCTTTTAACGTTAAATATTTTTCGCGTGCGTTTTCGAGTTGCGAATCGAGTTATCCGCAAATAAATTGACGAGTCCTCTTATTGTATAATGCGTCATGGAAATTCTATTACTTCAGAAGCGTTGAAAGAACCGAGGGAAAAAGGATCGGGGAACATTGTCGCGAGGGAATAATCGCCGTTGATGCAATCGATTCCAATGGATATTAAATTTAATCGAACGTAGACATTTTTTGCCGATTAAAATCCCCACGATTTTACGCCGCGTTATTATTTCGCACGATTGCCCGTGCGCGCGATGCAAACGCGGCGTTCGATTTTCAATTAGCGGGCAAATTCTTCC